TTATTTTTTCTGTGAACTCAAGTAGTGATTCTTGGGACGGAAAGAAAAAAACAACGCGTACCTGTCCAAAGCTTTTGAGCTTGTAGCTTTCATAACTTGATATCAACGAAACAAAGAGTATCTCGTGTAGAGNCTAGGAAAAAGGGAACAAGCTTCCGGGAAGCAGTTCGATGAGCTTGTAGAACCCCAGGGGAAGTTCGCAAAGAAGAATAGCGACTATATCCGTGATTAAGATATGATGATTATTTTATCCTTGAATTAGACCCGAACTTATACATTGGCCCAATGTTTGAAACCTCGTTAGCATTTCTCATTGCAAGACAGCAAATTCAATGGAGGGGGATGTTCCGTACAATTTTAGGGCAACGTACGCTGAATGACCAATCTGTCGGAGAACTTACTAATACTACAATATTGAGTGTCGGGAAAATTCAAAGCATTCTCAAGGTAAGGTCCGAATGAAATCTGTAAGTGTTTCCGCAGCTCTGACTTGTGTGAAATTACCGAATACCTACTCGAGTTTGAGAATATCAGTTCTTTTTTGTACCTGTATTCTTTTTTTTTGTTGGATACCTGGATTTCCAGAGTCAACCTGCTTCGTCCTCACCACGAACTTTGATGAAAGTTCTGGATGAATACAAACGAGAACGTGTGAAAGCTCGAAGAGTTCGTGGCAACCTCCCTCCTCCACCTCAGCGAAATCCGTTGAGTTTTCTCACTGTTATTCTTTTATTTTTTCTGTGAACTCAAGTAGTGATTCTTGGGACAGAAAGAAAAAAACAACGCGTACCTGTCCAAAGCTTTTCAGCTTGTAGCTTTCAGGACTTGATATCAACGAAACAAAGAGTATCTCGTGTAGAGACAACAGTCATCGCCAATTAGTAATTTAGTGACCAATCATTTGCGGGATTTGAGTGGAGGCACAAGTTGTCACTACGATTCAGTTTGCTATTAACAGAAGTCACCTGAAGCGAAGTATTCCACGCGAAATGAATTCTTGCTGTCAAGATCGATAGACCGGATTATTATTACTAGGTAGATTGTTCTCACGTAGTGCCTTCTGTGAAGGTAGCTAGATCAGAACTCTGTCAGAACTAGTCGCCCATGTCCCTGGGAGTGCTAACTTTCATACCAAGGATATAACTAAGCATGAATCTGGGGGAGAAAAGGAGCGGTGCCATAACCGCTAAAACGAAGCGATAACCTCAGAATACACCACAAAAATTTTGCAAGCGAAACTTATCTAGAGGTTTCTCGGCAGATTTCTTTATGGAGCTGGATTATTTATACTGATTCCAAGGATTGGGTGGGTGAGCATAAATTTTGTACGCCATTATAAGAATTCGCGAAAATTTGAAATGGCTTCAGTTTCTGCCTATCGTCAGAGATACGATGATTGTAAATGCTGTCGAAACTAGGTTCGTTATGGGCCAAAATGCTAGATCACAAACTTCAAACCATACATAAGATATACAGGTCCAAATCTATGTACAGTCCGCCATTTCTCTTACTAATACAGGGGATTGATGTTTTCCTCATGTGAAATGTGGTCCACTTCCGAGAGACAAGCATTTCACAAAATCAACTTCCTCCTTGATATTCCCCGATAAGTCGATTCGGCCGGATCAAATACTGTTTTCAGCAACCCAGTTCAGCCTTCGCGCGTCCTTCATGACGGTTTTGATGCAAAACCCAGTAATGGCGCTCAGGTAACTCGTACTTGTTTGTGTCTGGCTTCAGTTCTGTTAAGGTTTCTGTGTGCTTCAGGTGACATCTATAAGTTCCGGTGATTCAAATAAACCTACCGAAGTAATTACGGTAAGACATTTGACATAACTCGAACTCGATCAGGGACTACATCACCATCTCTTTTGCAGAGTCGAGCATTAGACAATGTCAAAACTCCTGCGTCAGTGGATACAGTAGCTTCATGTATCTCCAAGGTACAAATTTGTTAGTATTACGTGTTGTTGCTGTGCCAGTATTATTATAAACCTCGTTTTCAGGTCAATAATCGACTCAGTGGATCAAGACCAGCCAGCACTGTTGTCTGTTGTATTCATCTTCGTTGTTGAGTTTCTCGATTTTTGTTATTAAAACTATTATAGAGTCAGCAATCCTCGATTAGTCAAGAGAGGACGACACGTGAAGACCCAGTGAGTAAATTATGTGCATGCAAAAGGGCTTCAAAATCTAGAAAGTAAAGCGGAATACGTTTATAGCCGAGCAGTCGTCCCGATTCAGCTAGGTCTTCGAGCTCCCTGTCTAGTGCTGTCGGTGTGCGGAGTTCCTCACAAATGAGCACTAGTGTTTCGACAAGGTTGTTGTTTATGATGATTAAGTTGTTGTTTATACTGTTATTGTTTTGCTTTTATGATATGACATTTAGATCTGTGCTTCATATTCCTCGGCGTGAAGTCGCCTTTGGTTTTGTGGCTGTGGGAGATGCTGCAATATCGACTGTTGATGTGACAAATCGCACTGACCACTCTTTGCGGTTGCGAGCTAAACTCAGTCAAACCGGCACCCCATTTACGGTAAATATACGGTAGTATTAATTATGTTGCTTTTTTCTCAATGTTTTTATAGCTATTGGACAGCCAGATTCTTGTACTGGATGCACATAGGACAACGAGTCTTCGCATAGAATTCTCTCCAACACAGAATGCTCGATTTTTCACTAAGCTACTAATTTCCGCAGAAGGAGGGGGTGGACCTCAAGTCGGATACAGGGTATATTTGATCATTCATTAGTTCAGCGATTGTCGTTCTAGCCCTGTTTATAAAGCTTTCAATTTATTTGTTCTTCTGAAGATGCCAGTTCGCGGAGTTGGAGGCGCTGCTGTTGTAACGGTCAAAGCTAGGGACGACCTGCGCATATCACGAAATGGCACTTATGTCCTGCAGTCTTCCTATGAGTCCACGTTCTCGTTTACATTGACAAATTCGGGGAATCGGTGAGTAACTTTTTTATTTTACTCCTTATTTCGCTGCTGATAATTCTGATTACGGTGCCCATTTTGTTTGTATGAATGCTGCTCAATCCTTCTATTTTTGGAGACCATGTGCCAATAAGCCTCATTTACTTGCACTGAAATGTCATCTCATAACCAATAGAACCAAGACTAATTCCAAGACATTTAAAACCACACTGAATATTCGCTTGCTATGGTGACTGTGAGACCTTTCTTATGCAACTTTCTCATAGTAAAGTATAGTTACGCTTGCTAGTGCTTCGTTGACGTTGAACTACTCGATGCGTCAAGAGAAAATCTCACAACTCTGTGATTCACTGAAGCTTTCTCAAATCGCTGGTCATATTCGACTTTAACAAAGTTGTGTTCTATTTCAGAAGAGCTTTCTCCCGTATAGTTGTTTTGTATACCGGAGAATCCAACTTAGCAGAGCATGTTCCTGTTGACATACGTCCTTCACATGGTATAGTTATCGATCGTGGTGATAGTAAGGTAAGTTTCTGGAAAATTTTGTTCGCATTTTTTTCTATGCATACTATTGGCACATAAAAACTGAAGAGCCGTTTCTTTCTGCATGTTACCTTGAAATTTTTTCAACTCGTTGAAAAAAGATGTTTTATTTGTCGAAACCAAAGATGTTGAATCAAAAATACTGTTTCTCAGCAAGTTTCTGTTCGTCTCCGATCTCCACTCCCTTCACTAGATTGGCGTTCGTCACAGAATTCTCTGACTTCCACAGCTTCCTCAGTATGTTGTTTTACTCTGTAATTTTCCTATCTTGAGTTAATAATATGTTATTATATTAACGAATGAAACTGCTTCAGAACGTTTTTCGAATATTTACTTCCTTGTTTCCATAAATCTTGTTCTTTTGTTAGCTACAGTGGACAAAATTTATTTTTTCTGCAGCAACCAAAAAGAGCAAATCAACTACAAGTG